GTCTGATATCTGACGTTAATGTCGGACTCTCTCGCCGTCTCTCTATTGCGATTTTTTTTTTGTTTTTTTCGGTTGGCAGGCAGGGTATAAATATGATGGCTTCGAGGGTATGGAACCTTTCGCTCATTTACGGCTCGAACTCCCGTACGTCGTGTTCTCCCGAAAAAAAAGAAATATACGTAGCAGCCAAGAGTTATAGCCAAATCAAAATACTATCAGTTCTTATCAAAAACGCGTGTGTGTGCTCGATGGGCTTAGCCGGATTCCAGCGAGTGAAATGTTCAACTCCTTTGAGAGCTGCGATTTCTCGTGTCCCGGCGATAGTTCCTTCTACGGCGAGGATGTGAATCCCATTAATAATTTCTATGAGTGCGATCTAAAGTTTTCACAACAGCAGCAGCAGCAGCCACAACAGCTGAATAATGGCTCTGTTTTCGGGCGTACGCCCATTAATGAACCCACCGTGAACTTCGGCAATGGATCATTCTATACTTCACCACCGCAGAGGACCCAACCCTTTGTGGGTGCCATTCTGGGTCCAAATATGTCCTCTGGCGGGATGCAGAGATACCATCCGTATCACCAGCAACAGAACCAGGATGCCTTCTATCGCCAGAGGGGCAGTCTCCTAAATGTAGCCACGCCCTGTCGCGAAACCCGCCCCTGGAGTTACGCCTACTGCTATGGCTACGCCCCCACCAACACACAAGCTTGCCAGTTTTCCCAGTTCGTCGACATCGAGGACTTTATGTGAGTGATCCACTGAAGGCTGAAATATGGTTTATGATTTTTTCATTGGTTGGTAAACAAAAGATATTTCACAAAAAGTATCAGAAAGCTTTTTTTTGTGTCAAACAAACTGAAAAATTAGTGCGGTACTATATAAAATGTATTCAAAAAGTACTAATATTAGTACTAATATTTCAAGTTGACGGACAAAGATTAAATGATTTCTATATTCTTTAAAAAACTTTTTTTTTATCAAAGAATCAAAAGTCAGTTAAGTATTTATTTATGATTTTAAAGTATAAATTCAAATTCGAATTAAAATAACTGCAATTAGTACGTCACATTTTACAAAAAAGTAAATTTTCCATTTCTTTTTCACATTTTTTTAAACTTTTTTCTTGTTTTTTAAAACCTTTGAATTTATATATTTAATTTTAAAATTAATTGTTAAAAATTGTTGGCCAGTTTTCTCCATGTTACTAAACTTTCCAAAGACCTATAATTACACAACAGCGAACAGCTCATGAAAATAAACAATATAGAAAACCAGTTAAAATCGGTTTTCGAAGAATGCCTCTAACGATCTTAACTTATTTTGTCCCCAAGCGCTGAAAGCCTCATTCTCAAAATTGGTTGTGTCCTATTGTAAAAAGCGAAGCCGAAAGCAAACGGCGGGGCTCTTATCTATGCTTATTTGTGGATCGCTTTTATAATAATATTTAGATACGCAGGAAAAGATAGGCAGAGGGGGACAGAGATATGGCGCGCGAGAGAGAGGTAAATATATTGGATGAGTCAAGGTTCAGTGGGTTTCTCCCAAGAGAAAGACTTTCCCCTTCCTCTCTTCGATTATTCAGCAGAAATCTATAATGGTCGCAATCAAATTTATAAAACTGAAGAGTTGTGTAATTGTTATCTTTATGTTGGGTATTTCCCAAACATTTATCGGCACGTGGCTTAAAGTTTGAAGTCTCCTGGGGGTTCCTAAATCCATATAGTTGATCAACGATTCTAAACCGATTGACGCAGATTACAGCCCCTTTTCCCTGGATTTCTCCTCCTCAAAGACGTGCGCGGAAATCAAATGGATTTGGAATGGTCGCCAGTTTTCTGCGTTTATTTACGTTTTGCACACGTTTAAGCCAAATTTGTGCTTGCCCATCTCCATGCTAATGAGCCAAAACCAAACTGACGCAATTGCAGAGGGCACAAACAAAACAGTAAGACTCCCTCCCACATTATGCTGCTTCCCAGAGCCATCCAAACATCCCTGACCCGAAGTTGGCTCGATTTACTGCCAAATGAACTTGGCATTAACACCTTGAGCTGTATTTTATGTGTTTTCGCTGATATCTCGCCCAGAGATACGGCGCATTTTTGGTGCTTTACCATCGGGAGCAGAGCATTTTGCAATCTCCGCAATTCCCGCAATTCCAATTCAAACAGAAGCGGCGGGTCAGTATCCTAAGGTGTTGTAGGATAAGCCGAGATTTAGCTACCCACGTGATAGGATCGTGGTTAAAGATTTTAAAATATCCAGTTCTTATAACTGTAGAAAAAGTTGGTTCTCTTAACTTTGATTGAAGTTTTAATTTTTGGGTTAGCAGGTCGAATAGAGCATTAATTTTAAATTTCCTTTTTTATAGTTAAACTGCTTTATCTGTCGCTTGGTTTTCCCATTGAAAATATACCTTCCCCGGTAATATTTGTTTATATTATTTTGTCCTCGTTTTCTATACAAATAAAACCCTCTTGCTATTGTAATAAAATAATAACTGATTTATTGAGGAATTAATCATTGCTGCTTGACTACTAAGGGTTTTTAAATAAATATATTTTTTGTATGTATTTTTTGAGCTGCGCTTTGGAGCGGAAATACTTAGCAACAACAACAGCGCGATGACAGTGGCAATAACAAGGCAATTCTGCTGGCACAGCCAGAATATTTAAAAGGCTGTTGTTGCTACTGTTCTAATGAACAGACAATGAGCCCGATCGAAAAAAAATATATATATATAAGTACTCACCTCCCCCGCGAAAACCCCTCGAATATCACTCCATTTAAGCAGGCCATTAGCATGCAATTCAAAGCCACTCTATGCCGCTTTCTATGGGCTACCGACTATCGGATTTCTGTTTATTAATGCATATATAATATATGGAAACCCACGAGTCTACGCATATATATTGGTGTGCACTTTGATAGCGAGTGAAATAATATAATACTATATAATAATTATCTGAGGCAAGCATTCCAGTTGTGTTTCAAACGTTTGCCTGGTTTCCATCAATCAACCGATTGATTGACAATAAAAAACCCTCTTATCTCTACTTTTTTCTTTTATTTTATTAACATTTATTTTTCTTTTTTTCAATGCATTGTTTTGTCTTTCTCAAAGTTTTATCTTGGAAGCCCAAATACCCTTTTTCACCTAGGGCAAAATAAAATATTTGAATATGAATTATTCTGAGGCGAATTACTTTTCTGTGTAATTAAAAAGATTACAAACCTTGGGTAGATTATTTTTAGATTTTCCCTGTTTACAATCGATTGATTAATGTGTCCCCTATCTCATATACAAAGATGTCATAATAGAAGATTATATTTACTTATTATCGCCCATTTATTTAGTACTTATTTATTTAAATCGTATCTAAAGTTTCATTAAATGGTTTTTATAAATTTATTCAGAAGTACGTCTTGATTTCTACCCTTACTAAATAGCTAACAAAGTATGGAATACCATTTATAAAATAGGTTCTTAAGCTCTTATTAGACAGCCCGTAGACTGACATATTCATCACTTTGTACAATGCAGATTTCAAGGCCTTTGGCGGCTGATATGATGGGCCTTTGTTCATTTGGACTTCTTCGTTGACAGGTTGTACTTAAGGCTTGTTAACAGAAAACTTTCAAATTTTCGCAATGTTGCCAAGCAGATTTTCACAAATGAAACACCTGACGTGGGTTGGTTTCTTATTTTTTGTTTCTTACCACTGAATCAATAAAGCAGCGTTGGCAAATTTTACCCAAAGGCCTGGGAAACTAATGTACGTGCAAAACTCGGCGTTTACCGTGGATTATACAAGTTCGCCCTCTATTTCGATAATAAATAAATAATATTAAGAAGGCACGAGTTATGTTGTTGTCGTGGATAAATTCCCGAATTAGTTTTCTTCGCAGGCGGCAGCTCACGAGATTTTCTTGGCAAACTTTGGCATAATTCTCCCCGCACTCCCGAGGGAGGGCCCATCCGTCTTTTCTTAGAATTTCCCAAAATATATATACTTCGGTATACCCATATAGTGATAGTGCCCGTATGTGTGAGGTCAGTGCTCTGTAATATAAGTGTGTACGAATGATTTGCCTGCTTGTTTGCCGATTATAACTTGTCGCCAATATGGACGAATTGAAACCCTCGATTTAAATGAGGCTTACTTGGCCGATCGAAGTCGCTAATTGCCAACTCACCGGGCAGGTGAGATATTTCGATGTTTCGTCAATCCCCTGGCGAAATATCCAAAAAGTTTCCAAGAGTCCAACACCTGAAAATCGGTGCCAAGGCAGCTCTGTTAGTCTTTATCAGGTGAACGTGTGACTGCTGGCTAGTCTCGGAATCACGAACAGACATTATAAACTATCTAAAGCCCCTGGGTTCTTCTGCACAGCTTTCCCAAGGGGGCTTCGTTGTAGGTCAGGATCCTCCAGACAATGCCAATGAATAATGGATTTATTTGAAATATTTTTCAAGACTCTGTATACATTCTGCATAAATTCTTTATCAGCATGGGCAGCAATAATTTGTATTACTTTCACTATTGACATTCTTTAAAGAAACTCGACATTTTGATAAGGTCTGAAATAATTCTTTTGAAAATATTTATTGCTTTATTTCATGAAATATATTTATCTTCTTCAGCACTTTAATTAGAATTTCGTTTAATATTTAGAGTGACTTAGATGTATTAATTTTATTTTATAAATAGTAAGTAATAAAGCTGCCGTGAACTTTGGCGCCGTGTCGATCGCCTTCGCTGTTTTTTTCGCTTGACCTGGCAACAAATGCGAAAATTATAAGCGTTTGGCTAAATTGAAAAATTGCGAGCTCTGGCCGCGTGAATTGAATCAGAGGCAATCAAACGGGAATAAAAGTGCAGCAATTGAAATGCACGCACATATTTCACCCCACCTTTCCCCCTTTTTTTTTCAGTGGCGTACGTGATCGTTTTGAGCTTATGCTAATTTTTCATCTCATCGATCTTTTTTTCAGGAACAATGAAAAGCGCAAGGAAAAATCACGCGATGCGGCCAGATGTCGTCGCTCCAAGGAGACGGAGATTTTCATGGAGCTCTCGGCGGCTTTGCCATTGAAAACCGATGATGTGAATCAACTGGACAAGGCCTCCGTGATGAGGATCACCATTGCGTTCCTCAAGATTCGAGAGATGCTGCAGTTTGGTATGTTATATTATAATAAGTATTCCATTTAATCTCTTTTTAACCGAATAATTTTATTTTAGTGCCCAGTTTGCGCGACTGCAATGATGCCATCAAGAAGGACATAGAAGCTTTGGAGGATCTAGATCAGCAGGAGGTCAAGCCCAAGTTGGAAATGGGCAGCGAGGATTGGCTAAATGGAGCCGAGGCCAGAGAGCTCTTGAAGCAGACCATGGATGGGTTCCTGCTGGTCCTGTCCCACGAGGGAGATATCACTTATCTGTCAGAGAACGTGGTCGAGTATCTGGGCATTACCAAGGTGAGTGTTTTTGGAGGAGATTTTCTAAGGGGTGATTCTAATTTGGTTATTTCTTTTTCCCACAGATTGACACCCTTGGCCAGCAGATCTGGGAGTACTCGCACCAGTGCGATCACGCCGAGATCAAGGAGGCGCTCAGTCTGAAGCGCGAAATCGCCGAGAAGGTCAAGGATGAACCGCAGCAGGAATCCGGAGTGAGCACCCATCACCGGGATCTGTTTGTGCGCTTGAAGTGCACCTTGACCAGTCGCGGACGCAGCATCAACATCAAGAGTGCCTCGTATAAGGTGGGATTAAGTAGTATTTACTACAAATATGATTATAATAAATTCCCATAATATCGTATTAACAAATCTAAATGATTCCCTTAGGTCATTCACATCACTGGACACTTGGTGGTCAATGCCAAGGGCGAACGTCTGCTGATGGCCATTGGCCGACCCATTCCGCATCCTTCGAACATTGAGATACCTTTGGGAACTAGCACTTTCCTAACCAAACACTCCCTCGATATGCGTTTCACCTATGTGGACGACAAGTGAGATACATATTATCACAGATGAGAAACCATTTTAATCGCAAAAGCTCTTGAAATGAGGAATTTTTTACTTAGGCTGCCTCAGAAATTAATTTGATTGAATAATTGCTCTGCCAAAAGCGGCAAATAAACGTCGCTTGGTTCATAAATCATTTGCTTTTTTGCTATTACCAAAGTTACATCTGTCAATAAATCATCAATTGTTTTTGTGTCAATTAGGTTATTATAAAAGTAAACAAGCTACGTTTTCCATCACCTAAACCTATGTTCAGTATATAGTAAATTGATAGCTATTTCAAACTAATATATATTCGATTTAAACGAAAGATTAAAATGGGAACTCGTTTAAAAACATGCCTTCAGTAAAGTTCATACTAATGAATTTGATTTTTAATATTTTAGAATGCACGGCTTGTTGGGTTACTCGCCCAAGGATCTACTGGACACTTCTTTATACGTCTGCCAGCATGGAGCTGATTCCGAACGCCTGATGGCCACCTTCAAGAGCGGTGAGTGGCATCGTCCAACTCTCGAAAACTCGCGACTCATTAAAACAAACTGCAGCTAACTAATGCTAAACTAATTACTTTAATGTGCAAATTAAAACGCGTTCGTCGTTAGTTGAGATGGGATGAGATGGAGAGAACCGAGAACAGAGGACAGGAAGGATGCCGGAAGAGACCGGCACATCAAAACAAAGTTGTCACTCGTCCGCCGGCGTTACCTGTCCTGTGTCCTGTGTCGCGGACTCCTGGAATCCCCTAGTAGTTCCTGTTCACGTCCAGCAGTTGCCATAGCTTATTGCATTTAATTAGTTGTAGCACCTTCCTCTTGTTCAGACCCTCCTCTTTCCCTTTTTGTCTGTTTTCCAACACAAAGACCATTAGTCGTTGGCTTGACTTGGCTCTGCTTTAATTTCACTTTAGTTGCTAATTAGCTTTTGCGAAACTAAACGAATTGGTCAGGCAGCAAGACAGCTGAAATCTCTGTTTATTCGGTATCTATCCCTTTCATATCTCTATCTACTCATTTCAACAAGATCTTTCTTTCTTTTTGCTGATTCAATTATGTTTCCGCGTATTTCGCTTGTTTATTTATTCGGCATGACATTTTCTTTTGCCCTGAGTCGGTGAATCTATATAATCCAGCTATGCCTTATTGCTGCCCCATCGGCAATCCCCCAGGAGAACCATTCCCACCCATCTTGCTTAGCAATCGAAGGCTGGCGAAGGCCCTCAGCTTATTTGCAATCAATTTTCATAAGCCAAAGTATCGTTATCGCGGTGAAATATCCAACTCGATCGATAGATAAATGGGTCTAGTCACAGAGAAAAACGAATAGTATATTCATATTTTATTTTTATTACTTTGTAAAAATAGAATTTAAATGGGTTTGATAAAATATTTTATCAGTGAGAATTAACGATAGGGAAATAGTTATTTGACTATTGTTTAGATAAATAGCAACCTTTGTTTACTTGAGTTTAGGAATAATATATTTTTAATGTCAGGATATACACAGTTAGAATTGTAATAATAAATGTTCGTATTCCTATAACTGTTTAGGGATTTTTAGTTCTCAATCCAAGGTCATCCTAATATATATATTGTGTGATCTTGATAGGCAGCTCTGTCTTTAAGTACATTTTGTTCAAAAGCTCTATTATTCGTTAATCGAACAATAATATTTTGACAAATTACAAAATATCATTCTAATATTTTAAAGTCATGTATAGATAAGTGGCAGATAGTAGAAATTTTGTTGTGCATCATTTCCAAAAATATAGGTAAACAGTCGTGTTAATTCATTGTAATATTTTAAAGTCATGTAGATAAGTGCTGTGAATAATTGCCATAAATATAATTAGTTTTTCGTGTTAATTCATTGTAATATTTTAAAGTCATGCAAGAGATAGGATATATATATTTCGATGTGAATCATTTAGTTTGACCAAGAAATGGTTATTTTCAGTCCAAGCAGTAAGCAGTTTTGCAAGTGTGAGAAGTAAAGGTTCCTTAAGCATTTTTCTTAATTTCTCCCCAGCTCATCGGGGCGCGGCTTCTTGTTATTGTTTGCTTATTTGTTGCTCTTAATGGCCGCGTCATGTCGTCTACATTGGCCAAATAATGTTGCCACTGCCGATGTGGCTGCTCCTTTGGCTGGACGAGAAGAGGATGCACTTAAAATGCCAACGCGCTTGGGCAATAAAAAGTCTTGTGCTGACCATTGTTCGGGGTACATTGTACCCAAAAGTGCCCAAAAGAGCGCATCCCAGCGCATCCCGGCAGCGCCGAGGAACAGAAAATTGTCACTGCACTACAATTGGAATTATTATTGGCTGCGATGACTTTGGCTTCTTGGCCGGACATTCGCCCATCCTCTGGCTTTTCATGTAGACACGTTCTGTGCGAAATGACTTTCGGTTTTATGATGCGACGTATCCATTTGACCAGGAGACGCTCAAGTCCTCGGTTGCAGCTGCCGATCCTGAGTTCTCCACCGAGTTCTGTGTGCATCTCGCATATCGTTAGCAAAACTCGCCAGCAAGTTGTAAAAATGTCTTCGAAAGTCGTAAAAGTATTTCATACATTTTTGTTTTTATTAAGTTGCTTTCGCTGCTCTGGCGAAGTTTTCCTCTCCTTTTTCCCAAAAAAGTTTCCTTTTGAAAGCTTGCTGCCAGCTCGCCATATTATTGTTTATGAGTGCTGTCCGTTTTTATTTCCATTTGATTTTCATCAAGTTTACATGGCTTTGTAATAAGGGGGTCAGCTGTTGGTTCTCCCTTAAATGCTCCATCTATCAACCCCTTTTTATTCTATGAAAATTCGAAGATGATGATGGACTGAGGTACAGTAAAATTTTTCAATGACCAACATGTCATCATAATTCCATCGAAAATATCGAATACCTATCGATTATTTTTTTGCTCCAATGTTTGCGTAATTAAAAATTATAGATTCTTTTCGAAGCTTTAATATTTTAGTATAAAGCTTATGTTTTAATTCCTATGGATAGAAGATATTAAAGTAAACCATCGAAAATATCGAAATACTATCGATTGTTTTGTGGATCTACTGATTTGCATTTTGTTAAAGAAAGTTAATCTATAAATATATTTTTGAGTTCAAAGTTGAATTTATAGATTTCTAGATACAGAAGTACGTCTGTACCTCGTAGGACCCCATTTCCTAGCTGATTTTCCCCGTTTCCATTCCGTGCATGTGCACATGTGCATGTGGGTTGTTCGCCTGCAGATGGCGCAGCTCGCAAAATACTAAACGTCATGTGACAAACAGTTCAATAAAGTACAAAATGTGCGGAAAATCGCAAATGTCATGCGGGAAAATCTCGCATCGGGCAGCGTTTACCATTCGGATGTGTGTGTGTAGTGGAATGGAATGGAAATGGAAATGGGAAATTGCGTTCGAGCATTTCCATGCTGCAAATAAAGACGACAATTTGGCCGCGAGGCGAAAAATTATGAAAGGAGCGGGTGGGAAAGTGGCGAGGAAAATGGCTGAGGAAAGTGGCAGTGGATTGAAGGGGGCAAAAGTAAACTTAACGTGCCAGATAAATATCCTCTGACAGACAGAAAGACATACAGCGAGGAGATAAAGCCAGCATCGTTTTGGGTTCTATTTTTTGGTTTCTTTTTTTGGTGTAGAGTGTTGCAATAAATTTTGAAAAGCAACAAAAAACAATACCGAAAAGTGGCTTTGGCAGATTTGGCGCTGCGTGTGAAAAGTTCCCCTTCGGAAAATGCATTTTCCACTGAAACTGTAGCTGTAGCTGCATTCTGGGGGCATTGCCGCGGCATTTGCCAGACATTCAACTTTCAACTCTTGCCACAAGCCCGATTTAGTTTCCCGCTGTTTGTTTCTGTTTAAGTTTCCTTCCTCTACTTGTGTGCATTTGTGTGTTTCCTTCTTGGATTTTCCAAAGGGCAGCTGACAGTTGTTGTTTTTTCTTGGGCGGGTTGGGTTAAAAGGGGCGGGTGATCCCTGACAGGCACGTACCAGAAAGGGGGCGTGGCGCCAAGTGTTGCATACTTTTCAGCGATGGCCTACGCGAGGTGACTTCAAAAAGCTTCCCACGAACGCCATAAACAAAAAAGGGCAAGATACGAATGGAAAGATAACAATTTTTAAATAATATCACATTTCTCATGCCAACCTTTTGCATTTATAAGATTCGGTATTTAAGCTAGCAAAATTTTTAATCACTTGTAAAGGTGTCTAAAAGTATGCAATGAAAAGAGAGAGTCGACTTTTGTAATAAATCGATCGTATTTCTTAAATTAAAATATGTTTCAAATACTTTACAATATGAGACTCAAAGAGGGAGCTTAAAATTACTTAAGGACTGGTTTATTCAAGTTTAATAACACCTTAATTCAAGCTCGGCACACGAGGATTTCAAGTGCAAGTTTGGTTCGGTAACTTTATTTTCCTTTGCCCCTCACCCACGCGGGTTGTGTAATCAACATAACAAGCAACTGCCAGTTTACGAGTCTGTTAATGTCTCACACACTTCGGAGACGCTTCTATCCAGAGACCCAGACGAGTTTCCTGGCCATGTCCCGTAGTCGGTGGGTACACTATATAAACTATATGTCTGAGCCCCGCGAATGCTTCCTGCCAAAAGTGTCGATGATGCTGACGCTTAGCGCTGCTGCCAAGTCGTTGCACTCATCAGAGAGCAGCTGAAATTCCCCGCTTTTTTCGGGGGGAAGAACTTGGTCCCCCGCAAACTGTTTCACACAAAAGTTTATTTATCTTGTTTTGGCCAACATGAACAGTGGGGAAGGGAAATGTTCTACATAAAATTATAGCATTGATAGATAAATCAATATATCTTAATTCATAGAAGGGCTAGCTCTTTAGTCTTAATATGTAAACACTCTTTAAATTCTATAGCTAACAAAAATATACAAATTCAAATCACTTTTAAAGGTGTCTAAAAGTATGCAGTGTAAATATGAAAGTCATCTTTCGGTATGGAAAAATATTGTTGCATTGTTTTAGGCACCTTTGAAAGTAATTTCATTATTATTCGATTTTATTTTATTGTTTAATATCTTACTTAATATTTATTTAACTTATTTTTAAAAATCATTCCACTGTAACGAAACCGCTTTATGTTAATGCACTTAAATTTAGTTCGCGGCGAAAGTGGGCGTATGGGCGTGGCTGGGCACGGGTTGTTTGCAGCAGCCGCATTTTATTACATGCATAATTCCGCCGAGGGATCCTCGCTGGTCCGCCTCGGTCCACTTGCTCCGCTCCTCTCCTGCCAATATAATCTACATCTATTCCCAACTCCGCTGCTCGTCTCTTATTTATTCGTCTGCATCGTCTGGGCCATGAAAGCGCCAAACTAATGCCGTCGAAACTAATGGTCCAATTCGAGTGGCTCGTCGGCATCCTTATTTCGGCGACTCCTGCTTTACCATGTCCTGCTCTGTAATCCCGACTCGACGCGACTCAACTCGACTCGCCTCGCCAGGAT